GACTAAAGAAATATTTGAAGTACAAGTAAATTATATGTTTGTATGAATACTTTTCCAGAAAAAATGCGAAAAAACCCGAAGTTGAAAAATCCGAGTTTTATTGGTTTGGTTTATAGATTTAAAAATCCGACACAAATGATTTGGTTTGATATTTGAAAAATCTGAACCAACCCGGTCATGTACACCACCCTTATTGTTGACCATCTCAGTGAGAGTAACTTAATTACCAAATGATAATCAATTTATCAATTTCAATCTTGACGAACAAGTCGTCCGCAAATTATCCATCTTCGATTTGAAATCAAAGGAAAAACATTTATAGTTACTCCCCAAGATGATGTAGAACCAAAAAAATATAGTAATAAAGACTCTCATAATGTCCTGTTAAAAAAATGATTAAAAGCAATGGAAGATGAGACGGAGTCAATGAATTAAATCAAATCAAGTCTCAAAATCGATTGATATATCTATAGGTCGTAAAGCTATTGAAACAAGTGGATTTCGTAAATCAAGCATAAGGCAATGGTAATATTGAAAGATTTAATGCTCGTCTAGTAAATAAACGCATACACATAATAGGAAAGAATTGATTATGAAGAAACGTTTTCACTTGTTGTTTGTTTGGCTTTAATAAGGCTAAATTTATCAATAATAGCTATGTTGGATCTTGAATTGCAATAAATGGTGTAAAAACTCTATTTTTCAACAAACAACAAGAAGATGAAGTCTAGTTTAAACATAAGTTGTTTGAACTATCATCTGCACAATATTTCATTTATAAAAGGCAAACATTATATAGGAAAGGAGTCGATATACATGTTTCATATCATGTATGGATATAGTGACTTATAAGGGTGATGCAAGTTTAGTCTCTATGTCACGCCCCAAGTCTACACCCTGGACGTGGCCGGCACTCGGAGACCATCGCTGGCCCCAAGCGGAACCTTGGCCTGGCTTACTTAACTCAACGGAAGACTTAACTGAACAGAATAAACTCAAAACAATAGTTTAAATGATAACATCTTAGCCAAAATGACAACTTATGTCTCAAAACAAAGTATCTGCAAATACATAGATGAGAGACTCAATACTAACTGTCTGGCTGTCTATGAAGCCTCTATAATACTGAGATGGATGCTGGGACAGACCCCACAACATCCTAATAAAGCAAAACTAGGAAAGCGAAATAACAGAGTCCACCAGAATGCAAAGAGGCTCACCACTGACTCTGGAGTGCTCAACTGGATCAACGGCGTGCTGGATGCTGATCCTGGTTACCTATGTCTGCATTATAATAAGATGCAGGCCAACCGGCATCAGTACATTGAATGTACAAGTATGCGAGTTAGAAAGCTAAACAACAACTTAAGCTTAAAAGGAGTACAAAGAAACACTTACCGTGACTATGTTTAACTCATGAACAACTGAACTCAATATAAAGCAGTAAGACACATGCAATATATATAAAACTTGTAAAACAGTGTAAACAACTTAGTTCGTTAAAGATAAAGCAATAACAAACTCAACTTTACTTAAATATAAAAGTCATATAATTTTTGTGGGAGATTATCTAACCGACAACCACCACTATGAGCCTAAGTGGTGATACAACGTCTTGCCCACGCTGCCAGAACTGTCCTATACTTTGCCGTCATATAGAACGCTTAACTTAGTGGATCCACTAGTCTATGCTAAAAGCATCTTAATGAGTCATCTATATAGTATGATCATTTATTACCCATGATGACTACATGGTTTATGGAGTCTTGAGTTAATATGAACTCGCATCCCCATATCGGTGCTCAATACTACTCCCAAAATATACTTATCTCATATGTTTGTAAAAACAAAACTCTTTCTTTGAATTGAGGTAATTACTCAAAACTTAGCTTAAAAACTCTCTTGGAATCGATGTTCCCTTTCTTGCTCAATTGTGAAAACATTTATAAATTCTTTGGGAATACTTAGTCCTCTTATAGCTTTTTGAGAAATGAACTCAACTCTTTACTCTTTGCTTAACTTGAAAACTTGAGTCTTAAAATGAATTTAAAACATTGTTAAAGACTCTTGAAAAATTTAAGAAACTTTGCTTTGACTTGCTTCTTAACTACTAGACTTGACTCTTAACTTCTTTGACTTTGATCTTAACTTTCCTTAAATTGAATTATAGATTCAAGGTTCATGATCTCATGTTTATGGATAATTTCATGATGTTTAGATGTACTTTAGAGTGTTGGAATTGACTAGGAAACATAGGTACATCACTTAGAAACTAGTACAAAAAGATGGGGGAAGAATGGGGTGAACTAACGTCCTTAGCGCTCTGAGAGGCGTGGGGCGCCAGAGCACAAACTTCAGAGGTGAAGTTGTGGCGCTCTGGCTGGCGCGTCGCCCCAGAGGCCAAACTTCAGACTTTGAAGTGGGGCGCTCTGAGAGGCGCGGCGCCCCAACCCCTTGCCCAGCAAACTCCAACTTTTCTCCTTCGTTTTTCATCTCTAAACCCTCTAACCTTTTATGGTTCTTTCCCCAAACACTTAGGATCATTAGTACCTCAATACCCAATAGATTTAACTCGAAAAACAACCCGTAAACACGAATCAAATCAATACTAGGCAATCAACAATCAACCAACAAGAATTCAACAATGTTTTTCAAGAACTTCACTTCTTAACATGTAAACAACTCCAAATCGCTGAACTGAAACAAGTTGATGTGTGGATGAACTAACCCAACACGAAAAGATCTCACATACTTTAATAGGGATCACCCCCGACGAATTTCACTCGCAAGCTTGGATGATCTTGACGAGTTCTTGCTTTTTTCTCCCGTTCTTTCTTCCTTTCTCTCTTCTCCAAGCCCTAAGCGTTCTTTAATTTTTCCAAAACTGATTAGGTTCTGTTTTTACCCTAATAAACTCCTAAAATAAAATTAGGAAATTAATTAGAGAAAAAACTACTTTGCCCTTCCCTAAATCCGGATTGGGACTTTCCTCAATCCAACAGCCCAACTTCCGAAAGGCATATCTCACTCATACGATGTCGAAATTGTGCAATCTCGGCGGCGTTGGAAAGATCTCTCCAAGGGATTTCCAACCATATCAAGAGATGCTCCTAACTACTCCTGAGCTAGGAGTTATGGCCGTTTGAAAATGGTCAAAACTCACTTTCTTAACTTAGACAAAATTTCCAGATTTCCTTATTCTTTCCAAAAATCAATATTTTCATATTTTAAACTCTTTATAGTCTTTTCTAGGTTGGAGATCTTACACTCTACTTATTGTCGAATGAAGCCTTGAAAATCTTAAGTAATTTTTCACATTGTACCCTCATGACTTTAATTGATTTATGAAATTCAATTTAGTGTATGCTATCTTAATATGTTGCTAAGAGATTAAGCTTGATTCGGTCTGACAGAACATCTCTAGAAATGTTATCATGTTGTGATTAAGAGAATCATGAAATGAGAAATTCATTAAGTATTATTGCATAATTGTGTTTACTATCGGTCTCTTATGATGATAAATTCAAAATTAAGATAAAGAGATTATGAGAAATATGAATATGATAAATGATCTAGGATACTGTATGCTATAATTTATTCTAAATTTTATGAATCGAGATATAATAGATGTATATTAGTGAAATTCTTGAAGTATGCATTGGCCACACAATCTAGTCATAAGTATGAAATGTTGGAGAATATGAATGAGAGTTGACCCACTATATGTGAGTGAGAGATGAAAGAAATTAAGTCAGGTCACTTATATGAGTCGATCCAGACCCATGAGTAATATGTATTTATTATATATTTATTTATTTACAAAATAAAAAATGCGAAAACAATCGTTCGAAACTAGAAAATGAAAAGAACAATACTTTTCTCTCCATCCAAAATTAGAAGAAAAACTTTCCTCCTCTCTCATTGAAAGTTGTTCAAGCAAAAGAATTCTAGAAGAAGATTTTACTACAAATAGCTGAGAACGATATTCTGGAATATGATATGATTTTGTGACTTTATATAGTACGTTTTTGTACGTGATTACACTGTTTGACTAGTGAAATAAAATTCAATAATTCTACAAACTATGTATTTGAGTTTATTCTTCAACAATATTGTTACTTTTTGCCTAGTACTTCATGTCTTATTTTACACTATTAAAATTGATAATTAATCTATTGAACGAGCTAAATCAATAATGCATATTTTTAACCTTTAATAAATTTAACTGTACTGTTTTTCCGATAAACAAATAATACTATTGGCAAGTGGCAACCACACTCAAAGAATTTAGTGGAACTGCCCTCTTCTCCACGAATTGGCAGGTGACAGTTCTCTATGTAATCTCGTGAACGCAAGTGGACAATGTCAATTTAAAATCATTACTGCCATTAACATTCACTTGTAAAAAAAAAAAAAAAAAAAACTTAAATCCTAAATCCTTTTCTTACCTAATTATATGAATACATTTATAAAGTAACAAATTCAGAATTTAAATTTAATACGTACAATTTTTAATATTTTTTTTTTTTTTACTTTCTCACCTAGTGTCTGAAGTCCATACTGCATGGCCTATGCTGAGGTGACTCTCCAAACAAGATTTTTCTCATATTCAAGACTTAAACTCGAAATCTCTGGTTAAGAGCGAAGAAGTTATACCACACAACGTAACCCATGTTGATTCTTTAAACTTTTACTATTTATCCGTATAATTACACCTTCCTACTTATAGGTTAGTAAACTTTTATTTATTAAAATTTTAATGCTTTTTGCTTAAATATATTTCTATTTATATTCAACGTCGAAAATACTGAACTTGGTCCGTACCTATAGGTAAGAAGTGCACTCTTATTCCACCTATTGCTCCACTTCACGGGAAAAAAGAATGTGTGCCAAGTAGTTTAACTTCATTTGTGTTATATAAATATATAGGCTATTGGCTTATCATAAATTGTGTAATACACTCTTGTTAAAAACATTACAACAACAAATATTTATATAATATGAATATAAATATGAGAAGTAGAACAAGTTGTACGTTTATATTACTTGTTTGTTTTTGGATGTGTCAATTAGCTAACGTTGTTGTTTGTGAGTGTAGTAAAAATATGGTAATTTTCAATTTTGGAGATTCAAATTCAGACACAGGTGGTTATCCAGCTGCTCATGGAATCAGATTTGGATATCCAGATGGTCGTGCCTTTTTTCATCAGCCATCTGATAGATTGTGTGATGGACGATTGATTCTTGACTTCCTTTGTGAGCCCTTCTTCTAATTACTCTTTGTTACGTTTCAATTTTTGTGGCATAGTTTAATTCGTCGGAGATTACTTTTTTTAAAATTGGCTCGAAGCAAATAATGGTTTTAAATATGGTAGAATATTTGTATGGATATTAGACTTTTGAAACTTGTTATTTTGGATATAGCATAAGTAATATTTTTGCGACCATAGAAGGTTTTTAATAAGGGTAAAATGAATTTAAAACAGGGGTAGCTACCTCTACTATAAGGTTTCAATTTTTGAAAATTTTCAATATACAATGTGCTAACAGGGTAAAAAATAATAATTTTTGTGCGTATAACATAGATTTTCTTCCGACTTAAGCAAATATTAAGTAAGAAGAATGTAAAATCATCATTTTTTAAATATGTCACATAAATGAAAATGGAAACGAAAGACATCGTTTCACCAAAACCTTCATTCTTTTCCAACATCTATATATGCATCAAAATTACTTGATTCCAAAAGTAAAAATGCCTCTTTCATGTTCAACTAGTTAACCATTATTGATCTCCATTTGCAATCTTGATTTATTTTGTATAGTTTCCACTTTGCAAGCACTCTTTTAACCCGTGAAACTATATGGTAGCCGGTAGGTAAACAATCAATCACCCACAAGTTTCTTTTATAATTTTTTATTATTATCAACTCACTCAAGAAATATTGAAGAAATTTCTTTTATAAATTAGATATTTTGATTTTTTCAATAAATACTCAATTTTTAATATTATAAATTTTATATTTCAAAATGGCTTATATTGAGCCCGTGAAGTTCTTTTTTATCTCGGTGTACTTAGAGGTGTTTAATATTTTATTTGTCAAATGTCAATCATGAATTACAATCAATTTTTTTGCATGCATTTAAAAGCGCGGAATATAAATAGGTTCATATTTAAATTTTATATTTTCTTAAATCTCCTTAGTAAAATTTCCGACTCTTCGATTACAGGTGAAAATCTGAATATGAGCTATTTGACTCCATATCTGGAATCTGTAAGGCCGAATTTTAAGAACGGGGTAAATTTTGCAATTGGAGGTGCAACTATACTCCCCAAAAATGTTTTATTTAGTCTGAGTACTCAAGTTCTTCAATTTGTAAGGTTTCTTCAGTTACAATCCAAAGGTAATATTTACTACTATAGTATAATACTATATTATCGAGTTGATTTCTCATATTGTCACTTAGTTAATAGTTATATGAAAAAGATACTCCTTCCGTTTAATAATAGATGTTCATTATACTAAAAATAATTGTCCAATAATACTGTCCAGTTTAGAAAATCAAGATAATTACCTTTTGTGTCTATTTTACCCTTGTGCACTTTTAGTTGTCATGTTGCGCTTTTCGAAAGTCAATTTAATTAATTTTCAAAGTTAAATTAGATTACATTAATTCAATATTTCAAACAAAAAATTTAGATATTCAAAAACTATACGAAAATTAAAGTACTATAAATTTCAATTTTTTCCATATCAATATCAATATGATAAAAAAATACATCGTAAAATGTTGGTCAAAGTTATTATCGTTTGACTCTAAAAAAGGAAACTATGACCATTAAAAGTGGACAAAGGTAGTAATATTTATCATCTAACATATTTTTCAAAACGTTTAATTTAATAAAGTCAAAGGATAAAATAGTAAAATTACCCCTATTATTTAGTGTTTCTGAAGGGATATGACAAGTCAATAGTGAACAACTATTGTTGAATAGAGGGAGTATGTGATTTCTTGAAATAATTAACAATCCAATTATTAGTTGAGTGATCATCTGAACAATATGTTACTTTTGACTGATATTAACGTCCTAACTTTGGACTCGTAATTTGACAAGGTTCGGAAGAGTTGGTTGATAAAATAGATTTGAAGAAGGCAATATACATGATAGACATAGGACAAAATGATCTTGCTGGTGCATTCACTTACCTTTCACAAGCTTCTCAAGTTATTGAAAAGATCCCTTCTTTCATATCAGAAATTCAAGATGCAATTCTGGTGAGCTTTTTTTCTCTTTTTTTTATATAAGTCCAAATTTGTCCCTATATCATTAGAAATTGCTCAATTTTTGTCTATATTACACTCTTGGTTCATTTGTTAGCAAAACGTCATGTTTTTCCTTGTTATTAACGGAGCTACAACATGAAATAGACGAAGTCCACATGTCTTAAGTTCTTCAAGAAAACTACGAAGTTTAACAATACCCCTTATTATTTGACCATGTTAAAGAATGACAAAAGTCTCACATTAGTGGTTCATGAGATGGGTGGACTTCTTATAAGGCTTTGGACAATCGTTCTCCCTTTGAGCTAGCTTTTGAGGTGTGAGTTAGGCTTAAGACCTAATTTAACATGGTATCAGAGCAGCTACACCAGATGCTAAGCACTGGGCGTGAGGCGTGAGGTATTAAAAGAATGACAAAAGTCTGACATTGATGGTTAATGAAATGAGTGGATTCCTTATAAGGCTTGAAAAATGACCTAATTTAACCACTATTATTCAAAATTACCCTCAGATTGAAGACCTTTTCTATTAAATCAATGCAGGGCATATACAAACATGGAGGGAAGAATTTCTGGATTCATAACACGGGACCGTTAGGTTGTTTGCCACAAAAGGTTGCCACAAGAAATGCAAGTAATTCGAACGATGTTGATGATCATGGATGTGTTAAGTCTATGAACGAAGCTGCACAAGCATTTAACTATCAATTGCGCGCTCTTTGTGAACAATTGAGGCTCCAAATGAAGGACACAACCATTGTGTATGTCGATATGTATGCCATCAAGTACGACCTCATCGCCAATTCTAGCACTTATGGTGAGTTTACTTTGTTTGTTTCAACATTCTACGTGTATCATACTTATATTGATTAATATTTTTGAATCCGACATGTGTTATTAGGTATTCAAAATCCATTGATGGTGTGTTGTGGTTATGGGGGTCCGCCTTATAACTATAATTCCAACATAACTTGTCGTCAAAGTGGTTGTACTCTGTGCGAGGAAAGTGGTGCATATGTCAGCTGGGATGGAGTTCACTACACTGAGTTTGCTAATTCAATTGTTGCTTCCAAAGTACTCTCCACTAATTATTCTACTCCACCTCTGGACTTGCATCACTTTTGTACCTAGAAATTCATTACCACTCCTATATTTGCTTGTGTACTCACAAATTAAATAACTTGTTTTTTTTTTTTCTTTCTCTTATTATTATTGTGGGTGAATCATATGAAGAGTATACTTTGAACTGTTTTAGCCTAACATATTGTGACGATTCAACTATTACTAGACTTAATTAGGATTAAAGGAAAATCGAAACTACTTTTCGTAATGTCGACCTTTCAAAGAAAAAACTCGTCGTCATTCCATCCACTCCTTGTGGTATATAAAACTTTCGCATTAATATTAATTAGGCACGGTATATAACTATAGTTAAAGAGTAAAATTTAGGTTTAACAAACATAAAAATTATATTTGTATGTTATAGCTAGGGGTGTACAAAACTGAACCGAAAATCGAACCAAACCGCAAACCGAGTCAACCCGGAAAAAAACCCGACTAGTGGTTTGGTTTTGAAAAAAAAAAACCCGACTACATTTGGGTTGGGTTGGTTTTAACTAAAAAAAACCAACCCGAGACCAAACCAACCCAACATTATATATATAATTTTAAAATTTTATTTTATACATAAAAATATTTACTTTGATATAATTTTTAAATATTTCTTACACTTTTTCATAGTTTTTATCTTTTAATATATTATTTCAAGTTTGAAACCTAGAATTATGAATAGGCCAATAATGATTATAGTCCACAGATGTTGGTAATTATAATAAAACTTAAATCAAAATCAAATTAATACTAATGCAAAAATAAAATCAATTCAACACTAAGAATGACAATAATATTGAATATTTGTTCTTTAGTTTTACATTGGTTTAGACAATTAAAATACATAATCTAATTTTAATTTCCTTTAATATTTAGTCATGTAACTAATACTTATTAAACTTAATTTTAGCATGATTTAGTACTTTTAAATTATGATCATTTTCATTATGACTTGTTAATTTGCAATATTTGTTTTACGCGATTTCATTATTATTATTTTTGTTGGATATTTTAGTGTCATTAATCATATCATATTGTATTATATTTTTAAGAAACATCTTAGATAGTGGTATTTTGGTAGGACTAAAGAAATATTTGAAGTACAAGTAAATTATATGTTTGTATGAATACTTTACCGGAACAACCTGAAAAACCAAAAAACCCGAAAAAATCCAAAAAAACCCGAATAAACCCGAGTTTTATTGGTTTGGTTTGGTTTATAAATTTAAAAATCCAACACAAATGGTTTGGTTTGGTATTTGAAAAACCCGAACCAACCCGGCCATGTACACCCCTAGTTATAACTATAGTTTGTATAATTGCGCTCCATAACAAATTTTATGCTTGCTATGGAGCATCAGATTTGTATAAATCGCAGACAAACATTCGTTTGTATAAAAGCACAACGATTGTATATATATATATCAGTTAGATAATTGTATATATGTAACTACTATGATATGTATCAATGATTGTGTTTGTATATCTGCATAAAATTTGAATTTGTATACAATTGAATCGAAATAAAACACTTGTATATCAAATCTCTCTCTTTCTCTCTCTCTCGCTTTGTATAATTTGTGTTTGTATAAAACGAGAAAAAGAGAAAGGCAAAAGAGAACTGGTAGGGGAAGATCTGTATTTGTATAATTATAAGTGTATAAGACGAAAACATATGTATTTGTATATACAATTTTCTCTCCATTATACAAACACAAACACAATTTATACATTTGTGTTTGTATAAAAGTGAGAGAGGCGAGAGAGAGTGCCGTATGAGATTAGGGAGAGTGGCGAACGAGATTTCTAGGGAGAGAGGCAAATGGCAAGTGTTTCCTACGGATTAGAATTAAATGAAACTTATATAGGCTTTAGTCTCCTCCAAATATATTTTTTAATACTCCCTCCGTCCAACAATCGTTGCCCACTATGCTAAAAATATTTGTCCAGCAATACTTGTCAAATATATAAAATCAAGAGATAATTAGTTTTTGTGTCTATTTTACCCTGGCTATTAAGTACAATTTATCATCTAACACATTTCTTAAAGCGTTAAATTTAATAAAGTCAAAGAATAATATAGTAATATTATCCCTATTATTTATTGTTTCTTAAGGGGTGTGTAGTGACGGAGCTAGAATTTTTAGTAAAAGGGTTCAAAATCTGAAGAACTAAACACATGAACTAATTGAAAGGTCATTTACTATATATACATAAAAAATAACTTTAACCATGTATAAATAGTAATATTTTCTGCCAAAGGGGGTTCATGCTGGCTCCACCCCTGGGGTGTGCCAAGTCTAGTGGACAACTGTCGGATAGAGGGATTTTTTTTTTTTAAAAAAAAAACTACATTAATGAGCCATAAAATTCAAAAATTACAAGTTTATACCCAAACTCAAAGAAATTCATGAAATACCAATTCTCTCAATAAAAATTACAAACACATACTCTCATTTTGATAATTCTCGCTTAACTGATATTAAATCAGTATCATATATTTATTGGTATCAGTAAGGCCGATAATTTCGCTTAATTGATACTAAATCAATATATATATATATATATATATAATACTTTACGATAAAACAAGATGACCAAGTCAAGGTCATGTCCTCTTTCGTGTAATTTTTTGGGTGCTTAAATAGAATGGTACGGGTCATGCCAAACCCTTCATCCTTAACCGCGTGCCAATATTTTTATGATAGAAATAGGTTCGAAAAGTATTTTGGATTTTTTCACAAAATATAGTCCAATACAAAATAAATAGGAAAATTTACAGAAATCCACTTTTTAGAGAAATTCACTTTTTGGTTTACTTATTACCATTATCCCATATAAGTTTTACAAATCTCCAAAATCCCTCATTTTCGTGCATCAGATTAGTGTATCTTGCGCATCAGATTAGTGTATCATGTATAAAATGTACATCAGATTAGTGTATCATGTATAAAATGTAATGTATCTTACTTAACGATTAATGTATCTCGTGCATCAGATTAATGTATCATTGCTTATATTATTGTATCCGTTTGAGGGATTTCTGTAATTATAAACTTTTAAGGGATAAATTGTAATTTTGCTTTAAAAATATGTGATTTCTGTAATTTGCCCAATTAAATATTGGAAAAACTACCTAATTACATAAATATATCTATCATATTTGCTATTTTCGTTCTATAGTTTGAAATAATTATACATTGTCTCACTTATTAATAATGTCACATTGGATTTCAAGTCAGATATACCTAAATATATGTATGTTTGCTACCAGATATACTGAAATAGGGGGAGAGACAAGTGAGATAGTCTATGTATCCATATACATGTGAATCACACTAGATGTATATATATGGGATGTCAGATACATTCTGAAACAGACATACATAGGGAGTGAGGTAAAGAGAAGGAGAGAGACGAGTGAGATAGGAGAGAGGAGAGCGAGAGAGTCAGATACATGCGAATCTACTTAGATACGGTGTATTTGGAACAAATTACACCTAATTTTGACCCCATGTATCTGAGATACAAGATACATGTCCAAATTTTGGTAAGATTTGTAATTTTGAAAACTCGCGTGAAGAAAAGAAATTTGTTCCTAGACTAGTGGGATTAGTGTTGTTTGCCCTAAAATATTACCTATAGATAGCCCATATATTACACCTGCATAGCTCCGTTTTTGCAACAATGCTTATACACACGGTATACAATATTATACACATACTGTACACAATGTATAAACTTTGTATAATAGTGTATATGTAAGAGATACTTATACACACTTTTACGCTGTCATACAAACATTGTGTTTGGTCTCTTACGAGCATCATTCGAAATGAGTCAAATCTTTTTTAAATAACTTCATATTTTAATGACACTTTCAAAATGACATCCACAACGAACCACAATCATCAATTTATTGACGTATTGGATCATACCGTACTGCAATTTTCCCAACTTATTTATGTCGTCTTAATGTAATGTACAATATTAGTAGCTAGGATATGTAATATGGTCAAGAAAAGAATGCCAACACATTGAATTTTGAAAACTAGAGTCTGGAGGGTCCATTTCAATTTTCAAGTGAAACAAATTGCTTTACAATGTGGCATAATTAATTAGTACGTACAAACGTAGAATTGTTTGATTTGACTATACTAGTATACTTTAAAAGCATAATAATATATTTTTATGTATTGGATCAATCATAGAGTAAGCCAACCCACTAAGCATTCAAATAGTAAAGTCAACGGTTGAGATATGGAGGATCATTGATGTAACCTTCCAACTTTATTTGACACGTAGCATCTTTATCACCCTACAAATTACAACAAGAATTATAGTCCTCAAATTTGGAAAAGAGGGTGCTAGACAAAATGATTTGTTTTGCAATTGCAACATCAAAAAAGATGGGAAGTAATATGATTAAAGTTTAAAAGGAAGGAAGAATTGTTTGTTGATGAAAACATGAAAGAAGAAGGAAGGAAACAAAATAAGTGCGGTGTGGTGCTTTTATTTTGGCTAATTGTGATCTATCACTATTGCTAATGCTTCGCATTATGTCATATATATTTTCATGCATGAGATGGAGAAACTAGTGGAGGTTTCTCTCTTCTTTTGAATCACATAAAGCAAATTATTATTTGAGTTTGGCATGCTTTCCATTGGTGTTGAGTTTATAATAGAGTTCAAAGTATTTGAATGGAAAAGATAAAAAGAGTCTGTTTGGACATTCGATATGAAATCATGTAATAAAATCAGATTGATATGAAGTTGAAGTTTTATATGGACGTATGATATGAAATCATGTTATAAAGACAAATATAAAGTTGAAGATGTATGTCGAAATGCTATTTTGATTTCTTAAAATTGAACTCCCTCTATCCCAATTTATGTGACACTTTTCGTTTTTCGAGAGTCAAACAATTTATGTTTGACTGGTAATTTATGCATGGAATCTTCAATTTTTTTGAAATGAAATTATATATTTATAAACTACGTAAAAAGTACTATAAGTCATAATAATTCATAATT